TTATCATTATTATTTTCCAATTTGATCAGAGAGAGACAGACAGAGAGGAAGTGAGAAAGCAAGCCACCAGATCCGAGACTTGAACCGTGGTCGGCCATGTGGGAGTCCAGCACCTTTAACCACCATGCCACTTGCCAGCCCCCCGATGTGCTTTCTGATGGGACTCATGTCCTGGTTCCATTTTCCTGTAATCCCGGAGAGAGGGAGGCACTGTATGGCCCAAGCAGAAAATTTCCCATTTTCTTTGGGCTTCCATAAGCTTCTTTCCTGGGCAGAAAAAGAGAACTCATAGCATTTATTGAGCACCTGCTGTGTGTCAGATACCTTGCCACTTTGTATTCTTTGTCTCATTTGACACTTGTAACAACTTTTTTTTTTTTTTTTTCCCAGAGAGGAGAGATTTTTCACTGTAGGGCGCGTGCGCTCGCCAGACAGACAGAGAGAGACATAGAGACAGAAAGCGAGAAATCACCCCCCAGGGGGGTTGGTCACGCCGCAATCCCTTCTCCTCCATTCTCCTCTCGGGATCTTGGGCACGCACGCACACGCGCCCGGCGTGAGTTTTAAGCCACCGGGTCCGGGACACGAACCGCGGTCGACTACGTGGGAATCCTGCGACATAGCCATTACGCTAACTGCTGGTTCCCGACACTTGTAACAACTCTTGAGCTACTTTACAGATGAGAAAAGGAAGTGGCCTGCCCCTGGGTGTGGCTCCAGAATACATGCCATAGCACACAGCAGGAGGGCTCACACCCTTACCCTTCGCATGTGGGCCAGAAGCACATGCAGGAGCAGTGGGTCTGGATTCTTCTGGAGGCTTCTCACACCCATGTGGCCCCTGTTGGCTGTGGCCCGAAGTTGTCATGAGGAAGAGAGACATGGGAGGAATCTGCCAGGCACAATTAGAGGGTGGGAATTAGGTCCTTCCATCCTCTGCCTTTGCTTTCGGCCTTGACACACCTTCCTTCAGCACGCTGGGCATCCAGGAGAAGTACCTGCCCCCCTCAGGCCAGTCGGTGGAACAGGAAGCCATGCAGCTATAGTGACCTGCTGGGCCCCGGAGGGTGGCTTGCATAACCCAGCATGGGGAAAGGAGGCTCCAGTGAAAAGCAGACAGCTCAGTAGGCCACAGACCCAAGAGGCAGGTCCTCCCAGCCAGAGCCACGAGGCTGGCAAGGGGACACAACTCTGAACAGGACATGACCCTGAGCAGATCACCCTCCACACCACCAGCAGTGCCTGGGACTCTGGCCCTGCCACCAGGAAGCTGAGCACTGGCCCCCCTCGGGCTGTCATGGAGTGTGCTGCAGCACAAGAGCTGGTTTTCTCCTTTTCGTAATTTGAAATGTTTCTCAACCCTCCAAGCCCACAGGGTAGGGACACAGCAAGGGAATGTCACCTTTCATTGGAAGAGTCCTGTTTCTTCATGCTGATCAGTGTCTTCCCCAAAGTACAGGACCCACTGTACCAGAGGGCTGACACGCGGTCCCCACTCGGGTGTTCTCATTCATCTTCAGTTTAACAGCAAGCCTCAAGCTTGGGCCTTCACAGGTAGACCTTTTAGGTTTTGTTATCATTGTATTGATTTCATGGTTTCCTATTTTTGACAAGTGACAACTACTTTTCCATTGATGGTAGTAATTAAACACTTTTCTTCAAAAATGAAAGTACTGGGCAGCTCAGTTGGGGAGGTACGGTGGCAACGCACTGCTCAAGAGCAGCGGGACCGGGCCAGCCCAGAGCAGAGAGGCTAAGCCCTGTCCGTAGGAAGCCAGGTTGACCACTGTTTGGATCCTGGCCCTGCAGCCTGAAAAAAAAATGTGCCCAGAACTCTGAGGGGACAGAGAAACATGACAAAAGGAAATTGCCCCTTTGGGCACATGTGTGTGTTTTCTCTCACACGTGCACGTGCCTTCTGGCAATAATAAGTACAACGGGCCCGTGTGCTCGCCACAGAGACAGAGAAACAGAAAGTGGGAAATCACCCCCGGGGGTGGCCATGCTGCAGTTTTGGATATGGCTTGCACTTGGCATGAGTTTTTGACCCGTGTGCCAGAAAGAGAAATCACCCTCCAGGGGGGATGGCCACGTTGCAATCCCTTCTCCATTCTCCTCTTGGAATCTTGGGCATGCACATACATGCACCCAGCGTGAGTTTTAAACCACCAGGTCCATGACTTGAACCACGGCCGACTACATGGGAATCCAGCAACATAGCCATTACGCTAACTGCTGGTCCCAGTGCCTGGCGTGAGTTTTAAGCTGACAGGTCTGGGATGAAGTCGGTGTCCAGCGATGTCACTATTATGCCATTTGCTGGCCCCAAAAGGTAAATAAAACAGTTTAAAAATTAAAAGTAAGGGGCCAGCCTTGTCCTAGTGGCTACCACACGGACAATTATGATTTGATTATGATTTGAATCTGGATCCAGGAGGCTCAGGGGACATGCTGGGCACATGGTAGAGAAATGGAAGGAGACTGCAGCATGACTATGCCCCATCAAGGAGTGCTTTCTCCCTCTTCCCCTGTCTTTCCCCAGTAAGTGCAGTGTCCTCTGGCAAGTTAAATAAATAAAATTTAAAAGAGAGGGCCAGCAAATGACATGGAGGTTAAGACAGCTGGATCCTTCATGGCCGACTCTGTGGGTCTAGTCCCAGACCCCGGTGGCTTGCACCAGGCACATGTGCTTGCCCAAAATCTTGAGAGGAGAATGAAGAAGGGATTATGGTGTGGACATCTCCCCTGCGGGGACACTTTCTCATTTTCTCTCTCTATCTGTATATCAAGTACTCACGCCCGATAGCAAACTTGAAAAAAGGAATCTGGATCCCACCTGGCAGCCATGGTCTGAATCTCTAGCCCAGTTGGCCTGAGACATGCCAGGTGTGTGCAAGTGCCCAAGATCCCATGGCTGGAGGAGGAGGGGTCACTGTGTGGCCAGACCTTGTGCAGGGTGCACTTTCTCACTCATGTGCATGCACATACACGCCATCAGGAATAAAGGGGGAAACTAGCTTTTAAAAAATTATTTATACAAAGTGAATTTAAGGAAGAACAAAGTATGTAATACGACAGTTGTTATGAGGATGGAGCTGACATCAAAGTAGCTTCAAGGTGGGAAACTGATTTTTTGCTTCTTTACTTTTCTTGCTATCGGTGAGATGCAGGTTGTATATTCAACCAGCAGGTGGCGCCCCAGACCTATTTTCCACAGTTGTTACCTGCAGGGGAGGGAGCAGCCTCCCTAGGGAGGCTCGCGCCAGTTTCGTTTGCTGTGGTTCAGGCCTGTTGAGACGTCAAAAGGCTTGGCATCTTACAGAGGGCTTCCACACACGTCATCTCCATGAGGCCCTCCCAGAACCCCTAACAAATAGGCAAGCTGGGGACTGTTAGCAAGCCATTACCTGTTTTATGATGAGGGAACAGATGAATACTTTGCACTTTAGCCAGCCTGACTCTCACAGCCAGGCTGCTGATCGGATTGGGAGTGTTCTGCTTTTGGTGGATCATTGGTGAGAAGTCCAGTTATTATAGTCTGGTTATTCCAGGGTTCTAGCCAATCAGGAGAAAGAGTTTAGGCACTTGTATTACAGAATCATCCAGGAAAGAGAGGCCCTTGGTGTTGGGGCAGCTGGAGAATTCAGTGTAAGGAAACCTGTTCTGAAATGGGGTGACTGAGCTCTGCCTTCCAGTTAGGGCAGCCAGAGCAGAAGGGCAAAGTGAGGGGCCAAGGAGGCCCCTGCGGCCAGGACAGTATGAAAGCGCTGGCCTCAGCTCCCACGCCTGGCGGGGATAATGACTGGGTACTGCGTCCCCAGCCTCTCATCTGAGGAGTTCAAAGCACCACTGCCCTATTAACAGCCTGCACATAGGTGAGAAGAACTGACAGCAAGCCAGGGAAACAGGCCAGGAGGCACAGCCTGGGGCTGGCTGAGTCACCGGTGGGGCCCAGAGCCCAGGAATTTTGATGCCCAAGCTGCTGGACAAATCCTTAAAGCCTGAGGTGGGTGCCTATTTTGAAAACAGTTCCAGTAGCTGTGCTCATAGATTTTAGTGTTTACCCACCACTGAGGCCCAGCTCGCCCAGGCAGGCCAGGCGTGGGCTGCAGAGTGTGATTTGGGAGCTTATGGCCCCAATTCCAAGCACCCTCAACATTTATTCTCCGCAGTTATGGAGTGGGGATGGATGGAAAGAATCCAGAACTTTATTTTCACGTCTTGGCACAACAGCAAAGGTATTTTCTTCTCCAGTAAATACAGCTTCTGTCTACCTCCCACGAGGAGCCAAGTGATTTCCTCTTCCCTGTGCCCACACTGAGGTGATAGGGAGGGGCACAGTCAGAAAGGGGGAGGTTTCTGGGTGCCAGTGAGGCCTCCCTGGAATGTGTAGGATACGAGGACCACCCTCCAGGGTGACTGGCACATGGCAGCCATGTTCAATTTGATTTCTTCTTCCCTACGAAAAATAGAAAAGTGGAAGATGGCTCAGCTCTGTGGTACAGCTGCAAAGCACTGCTCAGGAGGAGCCGGCCTGCAGTTTGAGTCCCCAGCCTGGTCGGCCTGAGATACACCAGACACACCCATGTGCACACGCCCGGGATCACGGGCGGGGACTGAGGGAGGGGAATGGAGTGTGACCAGACAATTTGAAGGTGCACGTCTCTCATTCTCACACACGTATACATACACTCTTTTTCCTTTAAGGTTTTTGCTATAGAGTGTGTAAACTCACCAAAGAGAGACAATGAAAGGAAAAGTGAGAAATCACCTCCCAAGGGGGTATGGCTATAGATCCCTCTTCCTCCTCCAACTCCTCCTGGGATTTGGGGCACACATGCATACATGCCTGGCATGATTTTCAAACCACCAGGTCCGGGACTTAAGCCGTAATCAGCCCCGTGGGAGTCTAACCACTACAGCACCCACTAACCCCATAGAAACCTTCTTACCATGAATAAAAGGAAAAGAAAGTAAAAGAAAGAAAATGGGGACCAGCATCAGGTGTCATGATGGTTAAGGCACTGGATTCCCACTTCCCACATGGTTGCGTTCGAGTCACGGACTGGGCATCTTGAAAGTCATGCCCGGTGTGTGTGTGTGCGCGCGCACGCTCGTGCACCCCAAATCCCAAGAGGAGAATGGAGAAGAGATTACAACCATCCCCGCCGGCCCGTGATTTCTCATGTTCTCTCTCCAGCAAGCGCATGGACCCTTATAACAAAATAAAATTTATTTCTAAACAACTTGGAAAATGAGAAAAAGTCACCCATAACTCCAGAACAAAAATAATCATTAATGTTTATAATCTACAGTAAATGGGGCCAGCAGGTGGCATAGCGGTTAAGGCACTAGACTCCCATATGGATCATGGTTTGAGTCCCAGACCCCGCAGCTTCAAACTTAGGCCAGATACATATGCATGCATGCCCAAGATACCAAGAGAATGGAAGAAAAGGGATTGTGGTGTGGCTATCCCCCCACCCCGGGGGGGAGTAATTTCTTGCCTGCCTTTCTCTGTCTCCAGCAAGTACAACAATCTCTCTTTAAAAAAAAAATCGGAGGTTAAGATGCTGAACATTGCCACATGGCTGACCACAGTTCGAGTCCCTGACCTGGCGACTTGCTTTCTCACTTTCCATCTCTCTCTGGTCAAATTAAAAAATAAATTTAAAATTTTAAGTCAATAAATTTTCTATTTAAATGTATAAATATATTTTGTGTATTCATTCTGTCTTTTATTTTTTACACATACATGGAGTGGGTATTCTGTTTATGTAAGTGTGATATTATATCCTTGCTTGTTTCCTACTTTTAGGAATATCTTTTCCTTTTTTTTTTTGAGAGGGTTTTTTTGCTATAGGGCGCATGTGTTCACCAGAGAGACAGAAAGCAAGAAATCACCCCCAGGGGGGGATGGCCACACCGCAATTCCTTCTCCATTCTCCTTTCAGGATCTTGGGTATGCACACACACACGGCCGGCATGAGTTTAAGCCACTGGGTCCAGGGCTTGAACCATGGTAACTGCCTGGCAGTCCAGCAACATAGCCAATACACCAACTGCTGGTGCCAAGAATTTTTTTTTAAAGAATTATTTTAGATTTTAAATCTGAAGTGTGTCCTGACATGTTCGGGAAAGCTATGCTCTAAACTCCACCTTCCAGACCCCTGAAATACTCAGACAAGAAACTTATTATATTTTTATTTAATTAATGTATTTATGTTTGACCAGAGAGGGATAGAGTGAGAGAGGGAAAGTGAGAAAGCAAGCTACCAGGTTTGGGACTTGAACCATGGTTGACCATGTGGGAGACCAGCACCCTTAACCACCATGCCAGCTGTCAGCCTCCTTTTTATTTATTTAATTATTTATTTTTATTTGACCAGAGAGAGAGAGGGAAAGTGAGAAAGTAAACAAGAGACTATTTTAAATCTGAGATGTATCCTGGCGTGTTCAGGGGAGCTATGCTCTAGACTCCCATCTTCAAGACCCCTGAAATATTCAGAGCAGTTGAGAGATTTTTTTTCACAGAATGACCAGAAACCACTGCAGAGGCACAAGAAATAGGAGAAACCAAGAAAACATTTCTCCCTAAGGGAAAAGAAGAATCCCTCATCATCCACAGTGTAGTGGCACTCATGGAAGGGTCTGATAGAGAATTCAGAAT